ACGGCACTCTGACAGCACAGCTGGGAAGAACCCAGGGACTGGATTCTTGTAACATCCAGTCCCTGAGTTCTTTATGTGCCTTAGTTTACCCATCTACAGCATGTAACGTTTGACCAGGTGACATTCCAGATTCATTTTATCCTCATCTTTCTCCCTTGGAGAGAAGGAAACAGGTTCAGAGAGGGTAAATGACTCATCCAGGTCACAGAGCCAGTAATAAGAACCAGGTCTGTGTGGTTCCCAGTCCATGTTCTTGGGTTTGTGCTGATGGTCAGTGATGTGGCCTCAAGGAGAGGGCTCAGGGTGGAGTCTTGGGTGCAGCTAATCCATCCCTACACCTCAACTTACTTGATTGTACATCACACACTGAATCTAGAGCTGAGCCGAAAACTGGGACACAGATAAGTCAAATATGGTCACAGCCCCAAATGTGGGGAGGGGGGTAGATACAGACTCAGATCACTAATAAAAGGGTACCAAGCAGAGAGATACCCTGGAGAGATTAAAGCAGCACTGTCCCATTGGGTAGTGCTGAGTTAGAGGATATTTTCTAGAGTTGGGCCTTGGAAAGGACGAGAATTCCAGAAAAGGCAAAAAATATGAGCAAAAGCATAGGGATGAGTAAACAAGCAACTCGACTGAATGGGAGTAAGGGGTGAGTGAGAACAAATCATGGAAGTTAGGGACATGGGTTCTGGTGCTGGGCTGTCTGGGTTCAAAGACCTGCTTTTCCACATGCTGCTGTGATTTTAGAGAAATTCCTTCTCCTTTCTATACTTCAGGTTTGTCAGCTGCACAGTAGGGATAACCTTTGTTGTTAAGATTATGTACATGCAATACTTCTCTTAGGAGAGTGCTTGTTAAGCAGCAGTAATAGTAGCACTGAGCAGTAGAGGCTGCGGAGTTGCCAGGGACCAGATCATGAAGGCCCAGGACCTTCTTCCTAAGGGCAATGAAAGCCTGAAAGTTCACTAATGGGGGTGACAGGAGGCATGGTGAGGCAGCCCATGAGGAGAACACTGTCTGTGAAGGCGCAGTTCATGCACAACCTCCTCAGCACTACAGGTTGTGCAACCCTCCCCCTGTGCTCACAGCCCCTATTTGTCCCAGCATGGTTTTGTTAGTTATGGTGTTCTCTCTCCAGGGAATTCCTTATCATAATCTCTGTGCGTGACTAGCATACAGTTAAGACTCAGTAATTCTTTGCTGGAGGAAGCCATGAACCAACAGAATAGTGTAGGCAGTAGGGTGGGCTAGCTCTCAGTGTAGATGGAGGTGGGCAAGGTCAGGCTTACTCAGGTTCCTTTCTTGCAGGTGGACATTGCATCAGGGATGGCCATTGAAGGGATGTGCTATGCCCAGGTACGTGGTCACTGCCAAAGTCCATGCATACTTGTAAGCAGAGCCTGGGCCACAGTGGGGGGCTCATGTGCAATCCATGACCAATTTAGTAGGTTCCTCCCAACCCAAAGGGTCTCTCTCAATGCCACTTGCTCCTCACAATCAGCCTGGGCTGATCCCAGAGGAACCACACTGCTTCTCTCTGGGACTGTATCCTCAGCTATCTGGTGGTGGTACATTCTGTCCCCACCTAGAGAATCACAGAATACAAAGGTCCTTGAGAGGAAGAATGGCTTCCACTGTCTCTGTACCAGTGGCCACTTAGAGGTCAGGTTAGAGTGGGATGTCAAGGCCTTGCTTATTACAGCCTGTCGGCTGTGTGTGTTTGACGAGGGGGGCCGGGGGGAAAGATAGATAAATCTGGGGCTGACCTATTTAGACCTGACTCCTGGGTGAGTCAAAAAGTACTAACCTCGAGGTCAACAGATATCAAAAGTACTCCTACACAGGGGGTCCTGGAACTTGCAGGGCCTGGTGTGAAAAGAGCTACATCCAGGATTCAAAGCCAATTTCTTACTGTGACGTCTCCTATCAGACAGCTGCAGGAGACTGTCAGTTGTTTGGAGGCATGTAAGCTGGGAAAAGTAGAGGCCAATGACAGGCCAGATTCTGAAGGCGCAGCCTGCCTTCTTCAGGAAACTAAGGAGCCATGAGGCCCATACCTTTGCATGGCCCGATACCAGAGTCCACAGACAATAGAAAGACTTGGACCCTGCCTTGTCATGGGCTGGACAGACTTGAGCAAGTCTTTCTTGGCCTCTAGCCCTGCACCCCAACAAACTAATATTCTGTTGTTGTTTCAGAACATCCCCACCCAGGACCGGCTAGAGGGCATGGCAGCCTTCAGGGAGAAACGACCCCCTAGATTTGTGGGCGAGTGACTCCCATATAACCTCAAAGGGAAATCTGCAGCATGACTGCCCTCATTCCACATCTCCGGGCTCTCGTTTTCTCACAAGGACAATAATGGATATAAAATGACGGATGTGGTGCCTGGTACGAAGGCGCCGACCTTGTCCCCTACCGCTATCATCATCAGTCCCCTCCCTGTGTCTATAATCACTGGGGCACAGTTTGCTTTGGAGAATGCCTGTCTTTCCCTACTCGAATGATAAACGAAGGATTAGAATAGATCCCCTCTCGCCTTTGTAATTGTTGGCTCTCAGGCCTGATCTCTGCCTCAGTGAGCAGGTGCTCACCAGAGATGGCAAGAAGTAGTACGAACCCCCAGTTGCTAACTATACAAGAGAGATCATAAGGAAACCCTGGTAGAGGATCAGGTGCCAGGGATCAGACTGCAGATTCCAGCTCTCTACGTTACTCACTGTGTGCCTTAGCTTCCTCATCTGCAAAATGGAATTGCTGTGAGGGTTTAAATAAATAAAACGCCTCCTGTTCAATAAATATGAGTTATTAATGTACAGTGTTGCGAGAACCAATGGAAATCATTGTTGTGAAAACCTTTTTTAAACTGCAGGGTGGCAGGCCACTCTGTACTTGCACTAAACAGACTTCAGGAGCATCGAGAAGGAAGCGATTAACTGACGGAGAGAACGGGGGGAGGGGCGGGGGTGTGTGTGTGTCAGGAAATAGGTAGGTAACACTGGAGCTGAAGCTGGAAGAATTAGTAGACATTTGATGCAAAGAGGAGGCTGAGGGGAACGGCATGAGCAAAGGTGAACAAGAGGAGGGCACACGGAGGAACACGGGGGCTGATATGCACGTATGCACACTGGTCTCGGGAGCCCTCTTGCTGCACTAAGGCAGGGGAAGAGAAGGCTCCTCACACACCAGGGCCCACGGTCATTCTTTAACAGAGCTAAGCTTTACCTGAACTCCTGAGCCTAGGCCTAGAGTCTCTAAGTCATGGGCATGGACACATACCAATAATGTTGTTAATTTGCTGCTAAATACAAATGTACTCCATGGCCGTGCTCATTTCCTGAAAGGGAGAGTAACACGGAACGGCCCAGCCTTAGAATCAGCTCCAACCTCTCAAGCTGCTAACTAGTCGGGAAAGTAATAACCTTACTGAACTTCCTTTTTCTCATCTGTTAAATGGGGAGGCTAAAACCCCAGATGATTGTGTGAATCATGGGGAGACAAAAGTTGGAGAGCTGGGCCTCCACAGGCACAGTGTCCCACCGCATCCTCACATTATCTGGTAAAAGAATGTTCCAAAGTCCTAGAACCCGGGTCAGGAAGCTAAGACAGATTTTTGAAATCATGCACAAGAGTGAATGAGAGAAAATACAGTGCAGTTTCAGGACTGTAGGAGGCGACAAATTTCCCTTACCCAGTGGGACACTGGTGAGCAATAGTTTGGAATATCGTTTAGAATAAGTCTCATTTCATTCCAAAAGATGGCACATATCCTTCCAGTTAAGAGTGTGGTCAAAGAAGAGAATAAAATTCTAGTTCTAAAATATGCTAATAAAAAAGGAATTTATTTTTGTTCTTTGAAAAAATTAAAACACATGAATGACAAAATATGCTTTGTTAGTTGTCAATAATAAGGCAAGAAAGGAGTCCATACTCTATTCTACAGAGAGGGTTTGCAAGGGCACACACAAAAGCTTCTGACAATTTATATTGTGATAGAGGCTGGTTTTCAAAAAAGCCCGTATTTTTCTTGTCGCCCGGCTGGGTAAGAGCACCTCTTGAAATCTTTGGCAAAGACTTTTTGTGGCTCTTTCTCTTCCTCTCAGTTCTGGTCACAGTTCTACTCCAATTAAAACTCTGAGGGACTGAGATTTACAATTCCCGTACAATCTTCCATCTACAGTCTCCATCCTATCTCACCATGCCCCTGCAGCAAACCCACATACCCAGAATGTTATACCACTCAGTCCAACGTGTAAAGTTGAGGGGAAAGGGCCACTAGAAGAATATCAAAAACTGCAAAAAATATATTTCTTTTTCCTCTATCCACAGTGGAATGTACTTTGGTATCTACTTACAGAGAAAAGTAACTGGCACAGTTCCAACACACACTCACAGGTCTTCCCAGAGTCCAGGGCTTGATTTTTCACAATTGCTGAGGGAATGTTGTTAGAATTATTTCAACCTGGTTTAGGGTTATGGCCATCATAAAATACAATCGTTGGTAACTTACAAACACCATTAATAAAAGATGACCGCCCTGGCCAGTGTGCTCAGTGGTTAGAGTGCTGGCCCACACACCAAAGGACCATGGGTTCAATTTCCAGTCAAGTGCACATACCTGGGTTGCAGGTGTGATTCCTGGCCCTGGTTGGGGCATGTGTGGGAGGCAGCTAATCAATGTCCCTCTCACATTGATGTTTCTCTTTCTCTATCTCTATTTCCTTCCCTTCCACTCTCTCTAAAAGTCAATGGAAAAAATATCAAGTGAAGATTAACAACAAAAAAAATAAAATTAAAAAAACCCCGCATATAATCAAAATATACACACAAAAATTTAAAAATAAATTAAAGATGGCCAACTCATAAATTCCAGCAATAGGTTTCAACATTCAGTGGCTGACGGGATGGAAGATCTGCTTGCCCTTGAGGAGCAGAGCACCTCTGAGGCCCCTTAGGTTAAAAAGGGCATTTAACACAAAGGGAGTCTCTGATGATTCGTGAAATGCATTCTGAAGTCATCAAGAATGGAGGCTGCAATCTGCTGTGCTTGGGGGTCTGCCTCATTGTGCTCCTGGATGTCACACAAAAGCTGCAAGGTCCCAGGTTCGATTCCGGTCTAGGGCATGTACCTGGGTTGTGGGCACTTCCCCAGGAGGAGATGTGCGGGAGGCAGCTGATCGATGTTCCTCTTTCTTCGATGTTTCTAACTCTCTCTCTCTCTCCCTTCCTCTCTGTAAAAAAATCAATAAAATATATTTTTTTTAAAAAAAAAAAAGGAAAAGTCCCTTCAAACTCAAATAAGGCTTGGTTTGTGTTGTGACCAAACAGATGAGTATTTTAATATGTTTACTTCCAGACAACTCCATGATTCACATATCTCTAACCTTAGCAAAAAGGGATAAGAACAAGAACATCTTTTATTACAAGATTAATACACATTTCAGGTTCAGGCAATATGATGAATTAGATAAGCTGAAGACACCAGATGCTGGATAAAATATAACTGAGAAATATCTAGGTGCAAAGTTGAATGTACAAAGTAAAGATAATGTCCAGGAGCCAGATATATAGAGAAGAAAACACATAACGTACATAACCTAACCTGCAGCTATTCCGGAGCAGGAAGGGACTGTCAGTTTCAGTAATACAGAAACTTACAGATTCTAATTTAGGGAGTTAGAAACAAAATCAGTTCATAAAGTTGGTCCCTCAAAGGACTAGAAAAGACAAGGAATAAGACAATTGAAATATCTTTACATTGGGCTATGAGCCAAGCAATTTTTAAAATACTTTTACCACACGTGCATTTTTCCCTAGTTTGACTATATGTATATATATTGTACATATATACATATACATACATATGTCATTATTCATATGTACATATATACACACATACTTCAGATTTTCAGATGACTCATCTCTTACTTATTCACTTCAATTGTATTATATCCATAAACTGAAGAAAATTGACATCTGTACCTTAAGTCTTTCCATCTAGGAATAAAGTATGTCTCATAATTATTTCAGGCTTTTTAAGTTACCTCTTGGTTTTTTTAGTATTAAATTACAGCCTATTTTTCTTTTATAATAAAAGCCAAAAATTTTACAATTATCTTTAGCAAAAGACATAAGCTAAAAATTCTCAAAGGGGAATTTAAAACAGCAAAACATTAATCTAGCTGGGAAACAACTGACCCACCCAGCCTCCCACAGATCAGCAGATCTTTGTGTCACTAGAGAGTCTTCATGATAAACTGTTGAATAAAAAGAGCAAACTATACAATAGAATGCACAGAATTGGCCCATTTTATCTAAAAATATCACATTCATATATAGTACATACTAACTATAGTATGTATATAGAAAAGCATCTAGAATAATAGCTAGAGCTATCAGTTTTTAAAAATTTTTTATGAGTTTATTTGAGTCAAACTGACAACATATACCAGGGAGCAAGATCTCAAATGCTCCCCATAGTTATCAAGTTATTCTTTGTGCTTGCCTGTGGGAAATAGGCACATTCTATATCACTTGATATTCACCCCCAAATATATTATAATTTTGTTCCATTTTTAAAACTAATGAACTTTTTTTCATTTTCTTTTTAGAAGGAGTTAAATTAAGGACACAGGTGAACAGTTTTTCCAAATTCCATATTGAACTTAATCATTATACTGAATAATAGCTGCAAAACGACTGTTCTGAATACATACGGTTTTTACTGCAGACATGATACATAGCCCATAGTGCCCAGAGCTGAACCTCTGGTTGAGAGAAGTTGCCAAGGAGAGGAAAAAATGCCTTGAAGGATCTAAAAAGGCACAAAGAAGATGTTCATTCAGAACTGAGGCTAACATCAGGGATATAAGAATAATTTTCAACATTTCCCCATAGAGACAATTCCTCACTGAGACAGATGTATTACTGAAAATATAATGGGAGCTAGCATTTAAGAAACTGCATTTTTAAGGAGGACCTATGTAATACTTTCAACAATAAAGATTAAAACATAAAAGAAATTGCATTTTTGGCCCTGGCTGGGTAGCTCAATTGGTTAGAATGTCATTCTGATACACTACGGTTGTGGGTTCGATCCCTGGTCAGGGCACATAAAAAAACCAACCAATGAATGCATAAATAAATGGAACAATAAAATCAATGTGTGTCTGTGTCTGTCTGCCTGTCTCTCTCTCTCTCCTCTCTCCTCTCCCTTCCAAATTCAATAGGATAAAAACTTAAAAAATAAAAAAGAAATTGTATTCTGTTAAACACTCTATGCATTCAATATCTCGTTTCATCCTTTACCCTTGCACACTGTCAACCTCATTTTACAGAAGAGAAAAAGTGAGTCTAAGAAATTTTCTAAAAGTGATTTCCCAATATCACAAAGAAATTGGCTATTTAACTCTATTTTATCACTGTGCCATGGCCTCTACATAGTGAGTCGACTGAGGACAAGCTTTAAGAAGAGCATTACATCATCATGAAATTACCTGTAGGTCACCAATGCTGTCATCTTACAACTTGAACTTGGCCAATTCTGGATGGTTACATACTATACAAAAAGAGAAGCAAGGATTCTAGTATTCCATCATTTTTAAAAGGTCATAATAGGCTGTTTCATTTGTAATTACATATATATTTAAAACACAATTTTCAAATTACAGGCATAACTTACCCAAATTTAGGTACACCTTCTTGCCAAAATATCAATTAGGCAAACCATTATATATGTAGAATAGGAACAAAGTCATGTGGAAAACAATGCCATAAAAAGGGGCTTCTGTTTAAAGATGGAGACCTGAGCATGCATCCACTCCTTCCCTCAATCCTGTGTACAGAATACTAATGCTTTAAAAGAAAAGGTAAACACACAAAGAACCAAGCAGAAGAAGGATAACTGGTTCAACAGATCCAGCACTGGGGAAGGTTAAAAAACAAAGCAACTTGAACAGAAACACTAAAGGGATTTAAAAATTTGGCACACCAAGAATTTCAGGAAGATTAGAGGTGGGGTTAAAAATAAGAGATTGGTTAAAAGGTACCAAAGAATCAAGACTCCCACATCTCCTCCTTCATCCTCCTGTACTAGGCAACCCATGAATATTTAAGGGTGGCATTACCATGCTAAAAACAGAGGCTGAAGTGATAATGCTATCCTATCTACACTAATAAAAGAGAAACATGGTAATTAGCATACAACTGCTACCCTTTTCATTGGCTAATTAGCGAGATATGCAAATTAATCACCAGCCAAGATGGCCGTTAACTGCCAACAAAGATGGCGGTTAATTTGCATATGTAGGCACAATGCAGGGAGGCAAACGGGAAAGCACGGAAGAAGCCCCCTGCCACTGACAGTGATCAGAAACCCAGGGGGGAGCTAAGAGCGGATCAGGGTGGGCAGGGGACCCCCAGCTCCCTACGATCGCTGCCCCTGCTCCCCATGATCGCTGGCACCGCCCCTGCCCAGGCCTAACGCCTCTGGCCAAGGCGTCAGGCCTGGGCTGGGGGGACCCCCAGCTGCGCCGCCCCTGCCCGGATGCAGCCCCCCC